GCCTGGGTCCCGCCTCAGGACTGCTTCTGTCCCCATCCGCCAGGTCCCCCTGAGTGGCCCCTCTGACCACCCCAAGTCGGTTGCACTGACTCTCGCCCCTTGGTCGGCCGTGGAACACGCATTACAAATCAGTAGCAGCTTTATTTTTCATACTGTTTGACCTTTTGGCTCTTGCCTGTCTTCCTTGGGTGTGCCGGCACCCAGAGCAGTGCCCGACACGGTAGGTGCCTAGGATTCGCTGTTTCCGGTTCTTGCTCATCGGCTCCGGGTCTGATTTCAGGTTGTCCTTATCTCGATTCAGAAAGGAAGACGCGAGCAGCGGGTAGGGGTGGACGGGAGCAGGCACCGCTTGGCCACGGTCGTCACCTGAAGGTGTGCTGTATGTGTCCATCTGGCAGAGAAAGGGGCGCGACAAGTCCCAGAGGGGGCTCTGGTTGGAGGCGCCTGGTGTGGGGCTGCCTGTGACCCCAGGACTGGACGGTGGAGATGGAGAGATTTGAGGCCATCCTCAGCGACATAGACAGGCCTGGAACTCCCCGTGCTCTGGCCGGTCTCCTCCCTCCCCCACCCAGCACACCTGGACACAGCGTGACAGAGAACTCCCCGCTGTGGCCTGGGTCGTCAGGACCAGTTGTTGCACAAGTGCTCGCAGCTGCGCCTCCGCCCACAGGGGACACCTGATTGGAAACAGCAACCACGTGCCCGCGCCGCCTCAGAGTTCATCATTCCCAGCCACCCAGCGCCTCGCGCCTTCAAGGCAGCTCTGCTGGAGCCAGCAGCCGTCCACGGGCGTGGCAGGGGCGACCACCTAGCCCCACCGCCCTCAGTGTAGCCAGCAGGCCTTGGGTTTGGGGCTTTCCCCCTGCCTCCTGAGTGGCCGGGCTCACACCATCTCCTGGCTTTCCAGTTCTTCCCACTGCCATGTGTCAATGACTCAGAAACGAAAGAAATCGTAGGTAGACTTCCTCGGTAGCCAAGGGGGGCGGTCAGTGGCCAGTGACACACAGGCGTGGAGTGGCTGCAGGGGCAGAGGGGTCAGACTGGGTAGAGGACACTGGGCAAGTCACCTAGCCGATGCGTGGTAGCTGCTTTTCTCGTCGCTGTGCCAACACAACCTGGAAAAGGCCGCTTACTGAAGGTCTTTGTCCCATTGAGGTGGGACTGTCACGAGGCAGGAGAGTGAGGCGGCCCCACTTGGGAAGCAGAGAGCCTTGGTGTTCCGCCGGCTCCCCCGAGTCCTAACCCTCACCCCAGGACCACAGCCTGTGGGCCGGCTCCTCACAGAGCAGGCGGCCACTTCGTTTAACCGAGACAGTGTAGATTCCATCAGCTCAGCCGAGGCTGCAGAGGGCCCGCGTCCCGAGTTCAATTCCCGGCACCCACTTGGCTCCCAACCCTCCACAGTGAGATCTGGTGCCCTCTGCTAGCGGGCGGGTGGAACGCTACATGGAATAAATCTTAAAATACTTAGTGCCCATAGCAGCAGGTAGCTGGGAGTTTGCTGTTGCACACCGGCACGTGAGCGCGCTGGAACTCGTACCCCGCTCACTGCGCTGCACGGCCTCTGGAGAAGCCTGGAGCACAAAGTGTGCTCCTTTGCTGCCCAGGCCCCACTCCTCGGCCTGGCAGCCGCAGCGTGCCCACTGGGGCTCGTCCCCCTCAGCCAGCCTCGACCCCGGCACGTGGCCAGTGATGGCTGTGAACTCCTGAGCCTCCCGCCTCCACCTCTTAAGTGCTGGGGTCACAGCGTGCCCCACGCCCTGCTCTGCCGTGTCCTGCTTCTGCTTTGGTGCCGCCCGGCGCCTGCTCTGCCCTGCTGCTGTCAGTTCTCGGCGTCCTGATACGGCAGAAGCGTGCTGCAGCTGTGGCACACTCTGGTCGGCTCCGTGGGTGTGTGTAACAGCACCTGTGTTTCCTGACTCCTCAGGGGTAATTGCCCGTCTTTTGTTGTTCTGTTACTTGGAGATAGAGGGTCCAGGCTGTCTCAATTTTTTTTTAACAAGGTTTCTCTGTAGCCCTGGCTGTCCTGGACAGATTTGTAGACCAGGCTAGCTTCAAACTCACAGAGATCTGCCTGCCTCTGCCTCCTGAGTGCTGAGATTAAAGGTGTGCCCCACCATGCCAGGCTGTCTCAAACCCTGGAGGCCAGGTGCCCTCCTGTGCCAGCCGCCCGAATCCTGGATTAAAGGCCGAAGTGGCTACTCTTTAAACTACTGCTTTCTCCTTCCCTGCAATCGGGCCTTCCTCGGTGGCTCACGCCTTGAGCGCATACCCCTGAAGATCTGGGTCACCGGTGTGAGTGATGACCTTCCGGGCCTGTGTGATCTTCTGTTAGGAGTTTTAGGGTTTTTCCAGGGTGTAATACCACCGAGCATGAGACAGGGTCTCTGGAGGCGTCCGAACAGAGAAGGCGCCTGTTCCACCGCCCAGCAGCTGCCAGCGGGCTGCTCTCGGGCTGAAGGGCCGGCAGGAAACCTGGGAAATGCCAGTCCTCCGTGCTGGATTGTAACTGTATAGTGAGTCTAGGCATTACCCTTGTCGGAAGAGCAGATTCAAACACTCTGTGACTGCGGGTGGGGAGGGTGGCCCTCCACCTCCACCTCGTGGAGGAACCACCTGTTGGAAGGCGGGACAAAGCCAGTAGCCGGACAACTTGTGGTGTGGTCTGGAAAAATGAGTAAAAACACTAGAAATCCGATTGTGTTCTGATTTAATTCATTGATTTTAAGCATCTGTGTGTAGGTGTGTGCTGTGAAAGGTGCTTTCACCTGCTGAGCTGTGAGATTTTTAAGATGCTTCCAAGTTTGTGATAGCCCAAGCAGCTGAACGCTGGAGACGGCTTATTTCCCAGCTCAGCCTGACTCCGAATGTTAGCCACAGGGACAGTAGCAACCGATGCTGTCAGAGGCCCAAAAAGCCCTCATGAGCTGGACTTCCTCTCCAGATGTCCTTGGGTTTCCTGTCATCACTGCCACATTGAAAAGCCCAGGCAAAGGGCTGAGGGTGTGTCTCCTAAGAATCCCCCAGGGAAGGGCTGGGGTGTGCCTCAGGGGTAGAGCCCCTGCCTAGAACCCCCCAGTGAGGGGCTGGGGTGTGGCTCAGTGGAGAGCCCCTACCTAGAATCCCCCAGTGAGGGGCTGGGGTGTGGCTCAGGGGTAGAGCCCCTGCCTAGAATCCCCCAGTGAGGGGCTGGGGTGTGGCTCAGTGGTGGAGCCCCTGCCTAGAATCCCCCAGTGAGGGGCTGGGGTGTGGCTCAGGGGTACAGCCCCTGCCTAGAGTCCCCCAGTGAGGGGCTGGGGTGGGGCTCAGGGGTAGAGCCCCTGCCTGGAATCCCCCAGTGAGGGGCTGGAGTGGGGCTCAGGGGTAGAGCCCCTGCCTAGCATATTCAAGGCCCTAGGTCTACACTCACTACTGACACAAAACTGATCCAATCTTTTGTTATATAACCTGGTCTGTGATTTAAGCTCATCCTCCTCCTGCCTCAGCCTCCCGAGCATTGGTTTACAGGTGTTCTCTACCAAGCCCCACTAAAATCTTTAAACTGAGCCAGGTGGTGCCCTCAGAAGGTAGAGGCAGGCAGATCTCTGTCCCAGCCTGGTCTACAGGACAGCCAGGGCCACACTGAGAAAGCCTGCCTGGGAAACAACAAAAAGCTCTGTTGAGTGCAGGTTTAGTGCCTGCTCTGGGGTTGTCAAGGAGCCAGGAGACTCACTGCTTCTGAAATCGCCAGCCCCCGGCCTTCCAATCGGGGGAGGAGTGGGGAAGGAGTCTCCTGGTCAGGCGTGGCCCTGTGACCCGCCCCGAGCATGGAGCTGGGAGTGCCAGGTCACTCCTGGGCCACAGTGGCAGTCATGCGGTCCTGCAGAGGAGGCCTCCCAGGCCCTTCCTGCAAAGGGATCAGCTGATCTGCTCCTGGAGTGAGCAGAACCCGCCTAGGAGGGCGCTCAACTTGTCGAGCAAAGGCAGGCAGGCTTTGTGGCTTTGGCCCCGTGACTCACCAGGTGGCCGCCACCAGGACTAACACTTCTCTTTGAGCCGGGCAGCCCCCAGTGCAGGAGCTGTCCTCGAAGGAGCCAGCGCTAGAGCAGAGCAGCCAGGAGCGCCCACGAGACCCACCCACCTTGGGAACAGGGAAGCCCGTTGAAGGCCACAGTGAAGCGTTTCCTGAGAGCCAGTGTGGGAGGCCATTCCCTTAAAGGCGGCTCCCCTGCTCTAAGCACTTCCAAAGGAGTTTCACCACGCCAGGACTCCGAGCTCCTCGCTCTTAATAGCCACACGCTGCACACATGGAATCACATAAGGCAGGAGGGTGACCAAGGCCTGTGTGGGCCAGACCAGAGTTCATGATTCTCACCCATCCTAGCTGTCTGCCTCAGTTTCTCCATCTGTAAGGTGGAGAGGGTGAGTCAGAGACTGCCTTGAGCTTGAGGCTGAGCTGATGACAGCAAAGAGCTGGGACCATACGATGATTATAAAATTAAAGTACTTAGCCAGGCGTCCCTTGCCCTATAGCAGGGAACTCTGTCTCCCTTCTTTCCCCCCACTCCCTCCATCTCCCTCAGTCCGTCTCTCTGTCCCTGTCTTTCTCTCTCTCTGTGGCTCTCTTTCATCTCTCTCTTTTACAGGTCTCACTGTGTGGCTCTGGCTGTCCTGGAACTTACTAGGTAGACCAGGCTGGCCTGGTCAAACTCACAGAGACCCACCTGCCTCTGCCTCCAAGTTCTGGGTTTAAAAGCGTGCGCCCCACACCTGCACCTACCCATAATGCAGCCAAGATGGCTTCGACCGGATCTTCCTGCCTCTACCTCCCCAGACTGGGATGAAGCATGAGCTATTACACCCAGTTTTTGGTGTTTGTTTTGTCAGCTTTTGAGGCAGGCTCTGGCTGTGCCGCCTCAGCTGCTGCACAGGAAGGGGGAGGAGTCAGCCAAGCCCCCAAGACCTGTGCTGTTTGCTGCCTCCTTTCCAAGAGGCAGCTGGCCACAAGGAAGCTTTGCTTTGTTCATCCGATTTAATTTACAGGCATGTGGAGCGTGGGGCTCACTCCCCCCTGCCCAGGGGGTACAGGGCACGGTCGCAGTCTGCCCGGCGCAGGAAGTAGAGATAGTAGGCTGAGGGGACCTCAGCTCCTGGCTGGGTGTGGCAGGCACTGGGCGTGGCGCAGCCCCTCATGGCGAACTTGGTGTTGATGATGCCTGTGAGGACAGTTCCGCTGTGGGTCAGGAAGTGCCGGCCTCTATTCGGGGGCCCCCTCCCCCCAAGCCCACGCACGCTCACCAGCCTGCACGTTGCCAGCGAAATAGATGCAGTGTGTCTCGGGGCCCACGCAGCGGGCGGTCTGGGTGCCCGGGCACGTCTCGTGGAAAGGCGCGAGGCAGGAGGGGCACGTCAGGCCGTTCTCAGTGCGGTTGTTCAGGGGAGCTGGGGATGAAGACCGTGTGAAGCAGTTGGGAGACTGTTCCCCCACATCCGCCGGGCCCTGGGAGCGGGGTGGCCTTCCCAGGGAAGAAAACGCAGGCCCGAAGCCACCTGGGGCGTGCCAGATGTCACGGGACGGCCGCGCTGCTGCAGAGCCGTACTTACGGGGCACCGAGCCTCGGTTGCAGCCGTCAGTCTGGCAGCAGTGGGCATTGGACACCATGTAGTCGCTGGGGGTCATGGTGGTGGACACGAAGCCCGAGTAGCAGTCCTTAAACTTCATGCATGCCTTGAAGGTGGTCAGTGACTTCCGGCCCTCTGCAGGCAGGGACGGGAGAGGGAGAGGAGGGCAGGGGTGCTGCCAACTCCCTCCTGACCGTCCCTGCCCTTCCCCCTCCCGGTCCTCCCCACCCCATCCTCCTCACCCCTCCCACCCTCCTTACACCTCTCCATCCTCCCCACCCCTCCCCTCCCCCCCCCCCCCTCCCCCCTCCTCTCCCCACCTCATCCTTTCCCCTCTTTCCCACCCCACCCCACCCTTCCCCGTCCCTCCCCATCCCTCTCCATTCTCCCCTCCCCTCCCTATACTTCCCACCCCTCTCTATTCCTCCCCATCTCACCACTCCCTAACAGGATCTCTCTCTCTCTCTCTCTCTCTCACACACACACACACACACACACACTGAGGCTGGAAAGATGCCTTGTTGCTTTAGAGCACCAGCTGCTCTTCTAGAGGACCAAGTTCGGTTCCTAGCACCCACATCTGGCAACTTACAACCATCTACAGTTTCAGGTCCAGGGACCTGTCGCCCTCTTGTGGCCTCCGTAGACACCTGCACTCATATGCATGCACACACAGACACTCACACATAAATTAGAATAAAATTGTCCAGACTGGGTCTCTCTATGTAGCCCTGGCTGTCCTAGGGGTTTGTAGTCCAGGCTGGCCTCGAACTCAACAGAGATCCTCCTGCCTCTGTCTCCCCAGTGCTGGGATTGAAGGCGTGTGCTATTACACCCAGCTAAAATGTGCAAAACATTTAAGGTGTGTGTGTGATCCCAGGCCTGGAAACTGCTCAGCATCCATGAGCTCCGGGCACTGGGTCTGCCTATGTGCTCTCTCCTGGTGAAGAGTGAGTGTACCCTGAAGGCTATGCCATCGGCAAGGCCAGCAAACTGCAGACACAGGGGCTGCGGGGGAAGAAACGAGGCCCAGTGATGCAGCTGAAGAAGCTTCGGGAGTTTCTGGGCTGCTGATGAAGTTAAGCACGAGTGAGTTCTCAGGGCCATGAGGGAGGAGGCAGAGCTCAGGCTGACAGGCCTTGAAGAGAGAAGACACTCATGCGATAACATTCCTGTACCACCGCTCTGCTCTCCATCTCCGCTCTGCTCTCCATCTCTGCTCTGCTCTGCTCTGCATCTCTGCTCTGCTCTCCATCTCCGCTCTGCTCTCCATCTCTGCTCTGCTCTCCATCTCTGCTCTGCTCTGCTCTCCATCTCTGCTCTCCATCTCTACTCTCCATCTCTGCTCTGCTCTCCATCTCTGTGATGGTGGCGTCTAGCACCAGGGATGGCACATCCCACCAACCAACTTTTGTCTTATTAAAAAATAGTCAGGAGGCAGAGGCAGGCAGATCTCTGAGTCCCAGGCCAGCCTGGTCTACAGAGTGAGTCCAGGACAGCCAGGGCCACACAGAGAAATGTTTTGAAAACTGAGGTGTGTACGTGCACACATGCCCAGCGGGAAAGAGGCTCCAGGGGTCAGTTGCTTCTGTCACCCAGTGACACTCGCACCTCTGCACCAGGGTCCCTACCTGCTGAGCCACCTCACGGCCCCACTTCTCGAAGGCCACATGCACAATCCACCTGGTGGGTGGTGCTCTCGGGTCACCCGACCTCCACTGCCCACCCAGCCGCTGCACACAGTCTGCGGAAGCCGCCCGAGGCCACCCTGTGTCCGCTCCCTCTGCCTTCACAAGTCGCCCTGCACTGTCTCACTCTAGAAAGCCCATGATGGCCTCTCCCCGCTCTTCCCGGTCACCCTCACCCCTCGGCAGTGCTGGGTGGGTGGCTGGAGTCGCCTTCATTCCTCCTGTCTGAACGAGGCCGCCTGGGCTGGAGAGCCGGCTCAGGGGCTAAGAACACCCTTCCGGACGAGCAGGGTTCACTCCCCAGCACCCACGGGGCAGCTATCTGTCTGCAATCCAGGTCCTGGGCATCTAATGCCCTCACACCTGTGCGCGTAGAAGTACGTTATTTATTTATTTATTGTTTTTCTGAGACAGGGTTTCTCTGTGTGGCCCTGGCTGTCCTGGACTCACTCTGTAGACCGGGCTGGCCTCGAACTCACAGAGATCCACCTGCCTCTGCCTCTCGAGTGCTGGGATTAAAGGCCTGTGCCACCGTGCCTGGCTGAATCGGTTATTATTAGTTTTTTAAAGGTGGCCTTGAGGACTGTGATTTAACTCAGGAGACAGAGGCACTAACCACCACTCCTCACAGCCTGAGTTAGATCCGTGAGGCCCACATGACGGAAGGAGAGAATGGACTTCACGAGCTGTTCTCTGGCCTATACATTCCCACACCAACGCATACGCACTTTTAATGTGGAGACTGGCTTTCATGTCTCACGGCCGTCAGTGCCCCCCGCTGGGACTCGCCCCTCCAGTAACTGATGGAGACTCAACAGCCACCCTGTCCTCTATCGCCTCACCTCTAAGGCCAGGCTCTCCCGTTACTCCTGGGTCTCCCCCACTCGCTCCTCCTCCTTTCTCCCTCCTCTTCCCTGCCTTCTCTGCTCTTCCTTCCCTCCCTTCCTCCCCCCTCTCTCCTCCTCTCCCCTCCCTCTGTCCTCTGCCCCCCCTTCTTTTGTTAAGTCAGGCAGGCTGGCCTCAACTTGAACATCCTCCCACTGACCCTACATCCCAACATCTCTTCCTCCAGATTTCTTTGCTCCCCCCCCAGGGATGGTTCCTCTCCCCTCAGGGGGCCTTTTCTGTCATCCCCCCCAACAGCCCAATACCATGCCCCCTCCTGTCTCTATGGGCTTCCACCCCGCGCTGTCTCCATGCTGGAGAGACTGTCCCTGGGGAGACAGCGGGCTCCTTGGCTAGGGCAGGCACCAGGGAGGACTGCGGCTCAGCTGAGAGCCCCAGCAGCCCCCAGCTGCCTGCAGTCTGCTGGAGGTCGCCCTGGTCTGCAGCCTCCACAGCCCGCAGGCACGGGGGTACAGACTTTCAAATAAACTAAGAGGAGACTCGCCCCCTCCTGCTGCTTTCTTGTGTCCTCTTTTCTTTTCCTCACCCAGACCGCCACCCACTCTTGAACCTGCTCGAACGCACGCGCGCGCGCACACACACCCGCACGCACACCGCAGCGTGTTACACGAGCACCACGAGCCTTCTCGGGTTCCTGCATCGCTGTGACCATCCCGCCCCCTGTGACCATCCCCCCACGGGGGTCATCCTCTGCCCGGGAGGCGCCTCGCCCTCCTACTTGAGCTGGCCTCGCCCACGAGCACCACGCATGCGTCCTTGTCGGCCTCGCAGGTCTTCATCCTCCCGCTGCACGTGTGCCCGGGGCCTCTGCACACCTCGCAGCTGAGCGGGCACCCTGCGGGGGGAGGAGAAGCGGGCGTGGTCGGGCGCGTGGGCCTGGCGCTCCCGGGGGCAGCCCGAGCAGGGCCAGGGGCCATCCGGGCTCCACGCTCAAGCGAATCCACGGCAGCGGCTTCCACGCGGGACACGACTCTCCCCGGAGCCGCCTCACTCCGTAATTACAGGCTCTGGAGCAGACGCCAGGGTCCGGGACAGCCCAGGGGCAGGGAGGGCTCTGGGGCTCCATGCGCCAAACTTCAGGTCCAGCGGGTTCTGGGCTCGGAGCCGGCCTCCTCGAGGGGCCGTGCCCGACTCCGGGCGACCGCCGCCTTGGGACCCAGGCCATGGGGGGGGGGGCAGGGACAGAGAGGCCGGAGCTGTGTGTGAGCGGGGATGGGGACAGAAGCTGGACTGTGTGTGAGCGGAGACGAGGGACA